TCGCTGATTCCAGGAGGGATATTTTCTACCCGAAAGGGCAGAGCTAAATTGGGAGGTCGGGAGCGCGGCCACCCCTTGTGCCGCTCCAGGGTGGCCGGGGAAAGCTCCAGGAAAGACCCTGGATTCGGCACCCAGCACCCACCGGGGAGGCACCAGCTGAGTTCGGGGCTCTTGGACCCATCCTGGCTCTCGGGAGCCAGCTCCCGCAGACGGCCACGGAGCGGGGCGCTCCCACGTCCCCTGGGACCCTGCGAGCAGGATGTGACCCTGTGCATCCCAGTTAATCCCAGCGAGCCGGCCTGGATGCATTTCCCCATCCGCAGGGGCGCAGGGACAGGTGACCCCCAGCTTCAGAGCTGGTGCTCGGGTGCCGTTTTCCAGGAGGTCTCAGGACGCGCTGAGCACCCCCAGCCACCTTCCCCAGCCAACCCGCCCGGCCAGAGCTGCTTGATCTCAAAATTTGGTTTGAGAGTTTTTAGGACAGATGTCACTGTCCCCAAAGCCACTGGCACGTTCCGGTCCAGGCAGTGGGGTGGCCCCGTGGCACAAAATGTCCCCTCGTCGTGCCCGCAGACGAGCTGCTGTGTGCCTGCGACGTGCCGCACTGCGGCGTGCCCACCTGCACGGGCAAGGTGTGCTTCGTCAGCAAGAGGAAGGAGGAGGGGACCATCACGCAGCACCGGGGCTGCTTCTCCCAGAACATCCTGGAGAACTGCCACACGCCCGTGACAGAGCAGTACGGCATGAGGTGCTGCAAGTCCAGCATGTGCAACGCCAAGCTGGAGATCTTCCTGCAAGGTACGGGGTATGGTCCCCTTCGAGGAGCTTGCAGGGAGAGGGACAGAGCTGCCCACCCGGCTGGAGATAGGGTTGGGTCTCTATGTCATCCTCCTCCTCGCTCAGCACCTCCAGGGTCACCCTTTTCCAGGTGGGATGGGGCCAGTGAGATGTCCTTGGTTGTCCCTTCTTGGGCTGTGCCTGCAGAGCTGCCACCCATGGGGTTGACCCCAATGGAGCCATCCTCCCCAGCTCCAAGACCTCCACCCTCCCCAGGTCCAAGTCCCAGCACCAAGTCCTCCATCCTCCCCAGCTCCAAGCCCAAGAACCACCTTCACGCTCCCATCCATCATTTCCCCCTCCCAGGAGAAGAGGACCTGGGAAAAACGCCTTCCCTGCCCAACCTCCTCCTGATGATCTTCGTCCCGCTGCTCGCCCTCCTCGTCCTCGCGGTGCTCGCGGCGCTCTTCTGCTGGAAGGTGGCTCAGCACCGCCAGAAGAAAAGCGACTTGGGAGACATGGACCTCATGCTGAAGGCATCCATGGTGGGGGACAGCACTTTGGAGGTGGGTGAGCCCCGGGGGGGACCCCGAGGTGCGGGAAGGAGGGATGCGCTGGGTGCGGGGCAGCAGCTGGACTGACCCCGTTGCCACCGTGGCTGCGCAGGACTTGCTGAACGACGACTGCACACCGCCAGAAGAAAAGCGACTTGGGAGACATGGACCTCATGCTGAAGGCATCCATGGTGGGGGACAGCACTTTGGAGGTGGGTGAGCCCCGGGGGGGACCCCGAGGTGCGGGAAGGAGGGATGCGCTGGGTGCGGGGCAGCAGCTGGACTGACCCCGTTGCCACCGTGGCTGCGCAGGACTTGCTGAACGACGACTGCACCACGGGCAGCGGCTCGGGGCTGCCCTTCCTCGTCCAGCGAACGGTGGCTCGGCAGATCACGCTCGTGGAGTGCGTGGGTAAGGAGAGTGGCCGGGCACGGTGGGAG